TAGTCCCAAATCCTCCCAGAATAAAAGGGTGACTCCTAATCGGAAAACCTAGGTTCTGGAAACAACCAAAAGCCAGGACAATACCCTTGAAAGCTCTATTGTTCCATTCTTTCCATATAACCTAATAAGTAGCCAGTGGGATAAGACCAAGTTGTCTATTATAATGCTTAGCATTGGGATTACCTCCCCAAGCCCATAGCTCCTCTTTGATTGATCTATCCACAACCCGACTTACTCCCAACAAATCGTAAGCCAAACTCCATAATTTTTAATACTTTGGGCCCTAGAGTAAGAGATTATTATTTTTTATCTGGAGTAAACCAGAGTAAGAGATTATTGGCTATCTCTATAGCTCCTTTGCACAAATAGCAGTCGTTCACTATCACCTTTCCTTTTCTGATGAGATTGTAGAGTTAAGAAATAACTATTAGCCTCCTCCCAAGCAAAGAAACTACACTAGGGGATACCTTGATCTTCAAAATTAAATTCCATGAGAAATCTTCCCCATTCCTACCATTCCCTCTCAAGAAGGCATAATGAGACTTAACTCAGAACAGACCCCCTTACTGATCTTCCAAGTAGGCACGTCCAAGGCTTCTGGGGGATCTACATGTGTCGATAATAATTGTATCAAGCTCACTTGTTAATCTCCCAGTCATTGAGGTTCATTGTCAAGTCCACCACCCAAACTCACACTCCCCGAGGGATTAGAGAATGAATCTGCCACCTGGACCTCGTGGTTGCAGGCCAAAGCAAACATAGTGTGAACAGGCTGATCCAAGGATACCCCCTCAGTCAATCATACAACCAGGGATAAATGAGCCTAAGTCCTAGGTTCTCTCTTACTACAAAAGACTTCCCTCACTGACTAATGGGTTTTTAAAGTTAATGTCTCAATATTTCATTGGCTTCTTAAAGATTTAATGCATTTTACAGGTGGAAATTTATTTTGCTCAGAATTTATGCATTTTTCTGAAGCAAAGGGTTTTATATTGATAATTTAGAAATTTGGTCACTTATTTTTTAGAAAAACTATAAGGTGCACTAGTGCAAAATTGATTCAAGCTGTGCTCCCTCTCTCTTCCCAGATCGTTCTATTGAATGAGCTTCCATTTTTAAATGTTCTGGTGCTCCTTTGATCTGTTTAATCAATTTCCATCTAACATCTGTTATCATTCTATTGAATAGGCTTGCATTTCTGAATGTCTCGTGCTCTTTTGGGCTGTTTAATCAATTTTCATCCAACATTTGTTCTTTATTTGTTGTATAGCTGTTTAATTGCCAGAAATCTTTTGAATGGTCTGAAATCATGTTGGGAGGTATTCCAATACATGAATTACTCCGAGAAGAAACTAGCCTACCAAGCAGGTAATGCTGCAAATCTTGAAGGCTATTCGAAGTTCGAATTCAATGGAATTATGGTTAGTTTTTTCCCTGCTCTTCTGTGTACTTATATGAGATCAAGTCATCTTTTTGCTCTTCCAATGATTTTCTGTTTTTTTGGTTGTTGAA